TAATAGTCACTGAAAGATGGAATGTAATTCTGCCCTAAAGCCGGAGCTCGTTCGGGGAGAGACTTTTGGAGGGCTTTCAACTGGTGCAGGAAGTCTGGATCTTGCAGACTGTACTCGCTCCTCAAGTTTTGCATTTTGCCGATGAGGCATCAGATTGATACAGAGAACCAGACCTGGGCAACCCAGGCGGTTGTTGGGTCGGGTAGGACCGTGTAATAGAGCGACGAGAGGTGACGGAGGGAGTTGAGTTGCCATTGCTGGTGGGTATGGATGGTCCCCGAGAGTGTCTCGTCTTGGACGACGGATATGGCGGCCTTGAGCCTGATTCAGAAATAGAGACTCGAGGGCGTGGTATAGAAGGAGTTGTGGTTGCTTTCGCAAGACGATATGATGACTCCGAGAAAGGCGGTGACGGCGGGGTTTGAATATCAGATGCAACAGATGAAACGGACTTCGTAGGTGGAGTCGCAATGGTTGGTGACGACGATGTGGTAGCAGGGGAGTGTTCGGAAATATCGGGAGTATGGGGCACCGGAAGACCTGGGCTAAGAGTAAGGTTGTTCTTCTGCTTAAGCAAAAGTTCGGCTTTGCGAAGCTTCTCCTGGATAATGTGTGCTTCTATTTTGAGATCAGACAACTCATCCCGGAGACGCTGATTTTCAATACGCAAGGTTTCCCGTTCTTGCTCTCCGTGTTTTATCTCTTCCTCGAGCAGAACGCCCCGTTCTATGGACACGTTGTATTTTGATTCCAGGTCTTCCAAGGACGACGATGTGTTGCGCGCTTGACGCTCAAAATCGTCATTTGCAACCTCAATATCCCTGAGCTTCAGTTGCAGAGTTCGATTTCCATCCCGTAGACTCGTAATCTCCTTTTGAAGCGCACTCTGCGCAGAATTTGCTTCCGTCTTGGCTTGTTTATATTTCGCCTATCAAATAAAGGTTAGCGACCAAGACCCCTTTGACATACACCGAAGAGAGAATCGATTTACCTTCCATTCCTCTATTTCATATGCTGCACTTTCTAGCTTTTCATTCAACTTCCGCTCCCTCCTCTCTGAAGCCTCAATGTCTTTCTCTAGTTCAGCCTCCAGCTCCCTACTGGAAGACTGGAAGTCCGCAAGTTCAGCTTCGAGATGTTCATATTGTTTTTTGTAATAGGAAATGATATCCTGGGCGGACGTGGAAGCGCTTGGTGGTGACGATGGGGGTTCATCAGGCAGAGGCATCCTCGTTGCCTAAGAGTCCCTGAATGCTGGAGGCGCGGACGTCACTGGGGGCTATGGAATGCGCATAAGTGATAGAAAGAAAAAAAGAGTTGCCTGTATTCACAAGGCCAAATCGCAACGTCGCAGGGTTACTCTCTCTGTAGAGCTTGTAGAATCTTGTGATAATACTAAGTGGGAGGGGTCTGGTAGTGGATCCGACCAAGATATCGGCGATGGTATGATCGATCTCAAGGCCCAAAGTATGCCTCCCAGTGGTTGTAGCGAGAGGCGCGTAGAGATAGACGAAAAACTTACCTTTGGGGTTTACCGAAACCCTGTCGAATGTCGTCGTAGTCCACTACGCTGGTCGATGTCGCTGGTGGCCGGTAGATGAGGTAGTCGTCGTCGTCGTCGTTATCATGGGGGTGCAGGAAGTGTTGATTGTTTGCATCCCGTGATTACATAACTTGCCTCAGGGGATCCATGACAACGCGAACTAGTCCAGAAATAGACCAGGCGGGCTGCCGAGGCCGCCTGGCCGTTTCCCACTAAGCCAAAACTGGTCCACCACGGCTGGATCACCTGATCTTCCCTTCCCTGCCTCCCGTCGTGCACATATCAGACGTCTCCGCAGCACGCTTAGCAACTCCACGCCGCATCCCCACGCCGCCCCCAGGTAGTATCCAGGTATGTCCACTAGCTATCCCATTCTTACTCCCTCACATCTCTCTGTCACCTTGGTTCTACCATCTCAAGCATTGAGACCCGGAGCTTCCCATTGCCTCCTGGGACCCCTTTCCTGTCTGAGCACATTGCCCCTTGCCTCCTCAGTATGCCCACGCACACTGATCCTCAGGCGCTCTACTATCTATCTAGCTTTGCTGCCACGCACTTGACTCCACTCTCTGATTACCTCCATTGCTCTTTTACTATCCTTCGTCTATATGAAATATGGCCATGGAAATAATACTAACGTTCTATGGATGGCAGTTGCCCTCCTGGCTTCGCCAGACTCAGATATCATGGCTGATTCATCAGACTTGAATCTCGACGCTCCCAGCGACCTTCAGGACCTTCCTGATTTGTCTATGGAGCTTATCCCCCCACAGGAAGGGACTTATCCTGATAGAGCCTCCTTACTTGCTGCTGTGCAGGCACACGGTAAAGCCCATGGCTATAACATTGTTGTCAAATCATCCAGTACACCCACAGAGAAAAAGCCAGGCAGAGTCGCAAAAGTGTGGTTGCGATGCGATCGTGGTGGCCAGTACAGACCAAGAAATGGGCTCACTGAAGAAACACGGAAAAGGAGGCGGACTTCACGACTCATGGACTGCCCTTTCATGCTCGTCGCTGCAGGACATCCGGGAATCTGGACGCTGACAGTTTTAAATCCTTCACATAACCACGGCCCGATAGTGGAAAAGCCTCGACAGAATCCTCATCCTAAGGCGAAGAAGGGCCAAGTCACAGCTACTCCCTATGACTGGCCTCATGATGCGACATTCACACCCATTCACAACTGCGCTTGTGCTTATTGATATGCAACGTGATTGTAGGGTGTCTTAATACTTAATACGTCAGTAGCTGAACTATAATCTGACAGCGGTATCACATCCAGTTTGTTCACCAGGCGGATACATGGCGTATCAAGGATACGACATTACGCCTGCACAGCTCCTTATTCCTAAGTTACAGCGATTACTTGATGCTTTCCGCTCAGCCGGCTTTCCTGTGTATCATACCCGTGAAGGTATAGGCCACCATGAGCGGCTTTTGAATGTTTATTACCGTTCACTTACCAAACGTATGTAGGGCACCGCTCTGACCTCTCGAGCGTCTCCAATCGGGAAACTTTCCGCTCAAAAATCAACCCGTCTGGCATAGGTATAGGCTCAGATGGGCCTCTTGGTCGACTCCTCATACGCGGTGAGCCGGGACATGACATCATTCCAGAACTCTATCCGACCATGGGCGAACCCATTATCGATAAACCAGGCAAGGGGGCATTCACGTACACCGATTTCGAACTGCTCCTGCGGAATAAAGGGATCAAAAACCTTGTTCTTGCAGGTGTTACTACGGATGGCTGCGTTTCCACTACCATGCGAGAGGCAGCCGACAGAGGCTTCGACTGTATCTTGCTCGAAGATGGTACGTCTGCGGCTGACCCCTCACTTCACATGAGCGCTGTTGAGTCTGTGAAGATAGACGGTGGTATTTTTGGAGCGACTACGAAGGTCGACGATATGGTACAAGCGGTTGAAAACTTCAAAGCTGTAACTGTGAAGAAGCTTGCTCCGCAAATGTCCAATGTTGCCCAGTGAAAGGGAACAAACGACAAAATCTTGCGGTATAAATTCCCTTATCAAAATATTTCCCCCTCTTTGTTAAAGTTGCGCCTTGACTTTTTGCACGTATTTGAAGTCTGGTGTTATCAAGGCGCCTTTCTTTGCTATACCTTGTACTCTTCATTCTCTTTTTTCCTTGTGGAGGGAATAGTTTGTTTTTATTGGATAGTTACATTGTTTTCGGGATATTCATGAAATGTCGGCCCATAGGACATGTTTCCAGCCTTGCTTTTATTCGGATTCTTGTTACTATATATACTTGTGTGTACTTGGTGTGGAAGCTATATCCATTGGCTTTTTGAAATACCTTTTCAGTTTTCCCACGTTATCTCTCCTTTATGTTGTGTCTCAGGTTCTCTCTGCTCCCCTTGCATTACGTCTTGGGTTGTCTCATATCCTAAGCAGTCAAGAACGATTCAGGGTTTATTTTGTGATTGTTTGAGTACGTCAACTATCCCATGAGAGCAGTAACCGTCCACTAAAAGAAATAGCAAAAAATGACTTATCTGGCGCTTTATTATCAACAGTTGACAACTTGGGTATCAAAAAAGCATATATAGCTATCAAGCAATGCCCCACGACCGGTGCCTTTTTAATCATCAGCCTATTCTCTCCTCGATAATAGACACTGTTCTATGTTCCCTGGCCCATATAAAACAGAAAAGGAAACTCCTGAAAACCAACAATCAACGCCATGCCAAACGGAGAGCAATGAGAAATTGAAGAACTAAAAATAAAAACAGAAGGCAATTCCAACACCCCTCTCAAAAACATAAGGTTTAAAAAAAAAAAAAAAAAAAAAAAAAAAAAAAAGTAAAATATAAAAACTAAGAAAAGCAAATCACAACCACTTCCTCCCCGCCGCCACCACCCTCCCCCTAAACACTGGACTCGTAATCTCCATCCCCTGCCGATAGAACGGACTCATCACCGTCTTCACCCAGTTCTCATACACCTCATTCATAAACTGCCGGATGGCCTCCTCAGTCTGCGGCGACGTGGGATTATTGGCTATGGACGAGGAGGAGGCGCGTGACGTCGTTGTAGAGACTGCGGAGGCTGAGAGTGCGGTCGATATGGGCGATACCCCTGCTGTGGAGGATGAGGGGGGTTGCGGCGGCTGGTGGAGGAGAAGGAAGCGGGTGCCTGAGCCGGTCAGGAAGGCGGAGACGTAGGCGGAGGTTGGAGGGTATGTGTCGATGTGTTTCAGGTACCTGGGACAGAGTGAATGGGTTGCGTGTTAGGCTGGTCTTTTTTACCCCTACGTCCTATACAGAGGACGGCAGCGGGAATGCGGCGAGCTTGCGATGCGCGAGCTTCCGCGCCGAAGGTGATTTCCTGGTATGGGGTTTGTCACTTACATAGCCCCATTGGACCATTGGAGCTCCTCGACAATGTCTAGACTGGCGTGGACTATGAATTGGTTCATGTACGGGGCATTATCTGGGAATCGGAATCGGGCAACGCCATCTCCGCCCGCCTTGGAGGTGCCAAAGGCGAGGCTGAAGAGGGGAACGTCGGTAGGGGAGAGGATTGCAAAGTAGTATGACATGGCTTAGTGATTTGCTCTACTTTTTGACATGGGGGACCTATGACGGCGTCGGTGCATGACGCATCGTCTTCGAGAGTTAGTGGGCGCTGCGATTTGTGAAATTGCGATGGGTCATGTGATCTGAATATGTCGTCCCAATAAATCGAATGAGGGTTTGTCCGTCATTTATTCCCATACATCCATCCGGGATATATCAACCTAACCCACATTCACCCTACCAACCTCACAATGTCACGCCCAACCCTTTCCTACGGCCTCAACCTCTCCAACAAAAAGCCCCAAGGCCTTTCCCTAGCCAAAGCCACCACCTCCACCAACAACCCGCAAAAGCGCAAAAGGACAATCTTCGACTCAGATTCCGAAGATGGCGACGCCCAAAAAGAAAGCAACGGCTCCATAGAAATCACCACGTTAGGTGGTCTCAACAACAGCAACAACAACGATGATACGGACAACGGAGGCCCCTCCGGGAGAAAACCCGCTACCTCGAAGAGAAAAAAACCCTCCACAGCTCAACAACTACTCAAACCTCTCCAGCCTCCACAGTAGCAAAAAGCACGCCCAAACCGCCGAATCTCTCGACTCATCCATCTACGACTACGACGCCGTCTATGACTCCCTCCATGCCAAACCTTCCTCCACCGCCGCCGCCACTGAAACCTCGACATCGAAATACATGACCGCCCTCCTCCGCAGTGCAGAGATACGCAAGCGCGACCAGCTGCGCGCGCGCGATAAACAGCTCCAACGCGAACGCGAGGCAGAAGGCGAAGAGTATGCGGATAAGGAGAAGTTTGTTACGGCGGCGTACAAGGCGCAGCAGGAGGAGGCACGGCGGATAGAAGCGGAGGAGGCGGAGAGGGAGCGGGAGGAAGAGGAGCGGCGGAAAAAAGGCGGCGGGATGGTGGGGTTTTACAAGAATATGCTTGAGCGGGATGAGAGGAGGCACGAGGAGGTGGTGAAGGCAGCGGAGTCTGCAGCGGCGAAGAAGCGAGGTCCGGCGGCGGAAAGGGTGGAGCAAGAGGAGTTACTGGAAGCGACGGAGAAGAGCGAGGCGCAGATTGCGGCGGAGCTGAATGCGCGGGGCGCGAATATCATTCTTAATGATGAGGGGCAGGTTGTTGATAAGCGGCAGTTACTTACGGCTGGGTTGAACGTTTCGCGGAAACCCGAGAAGGCGAAGGGGGCGCCTGCGGCGGCGGATAAAGCGGCTGGGTCCGCTGGGTGGGCCGTAGAGGGGAGATGGAACCAGCCGGATGCTGCTGGTTCCGGGCGTGCGGGTCAGCGGGCCAGACAGACGGAGATGTTGGCTACGCAGTTGGAGGAGAGAATGCGGAAGGAAGAGGAAGAGAGAGAGGCGAAGGAGAAGGAGCTAGCAGCGAAGATGAAGAGTTCGAAGACGGCGGGTGATGTGCAAAGTGCACGGGAGCGATATCTCGCTCGGAAGAGGGAGAAGGAGAAAGAGGGGCGCCAATAAAGTGAATGCAATTTTGGGGGCTGGGAGTACTTGGGGATTCTTGTTCACTGGTAGATAGATGGCAGCGGGATTTGCGATATGGCATCTGCTAGGTAGTGCGCCTGTACACAAAGATAGCCTTTTTATTCTTTCATAAAAAGATCTTTTAGTATCCTCCACAGCTTACCACTTCAGAAACAATAGTCAATCCAGAGATATCCTTATCCCCAGTTAATCTAATTTATCCCAAAAATTTAATAATAGTAAGCAAACCCGAATTGTAAATTTCTAATGGAGAAAATTAAAAGGTTAAAAATATGAAATGATGAGAACAAACTGAACACGGAACCAGGATTCCGTACCGACCAACAAGCCTAGATAGAGAATGGGGTTGTGACTCATGAACCCAAACGACCCAAAAATGCCAGAAAAGAACAATGAGGACATCATCAGCCAGATCATGATAAGGTGGTATGCAAAGCAAAGTAAAACAACAATGACGGGGAGAAACAGCAAAAAAGAAAGAGAGCAAGAAATGAAAATCATGAACCATGTCTCCCAATGAGTGAGAAGTCAGCGAGCAAGTTGATTCCGACCATTTCGCCTCTCTCGTCGCCCTCAATCTTTTTTTTCATCCGGTTAACGCGTAACTGAAGCCTAAAATCCCCATTCCTAAAAAGGCGAACCCGACACAGAGAGATCGATTATGCGACAACACCAACCCCTCGGAGAAAAGCTGGAGCGCAACACTCGTCATCACGCCCGCCGTGGCCGCAAACATGCCCCCATACACAGCCCACGAGATATTATTAGGATTAGCACCACTGGCAGCACTGATTCCGCCACCATTATCTGCTTTGCCGGCGCTCCATATCCATAACGCTGCAAGACCAGCGCCAGCCGGTTGGCTGACGCCGCCTAGCAAGCTGGACCAGAGCATGGCTTTCAATTTCGAGTGGAGGGCTAGGTAGAGAGGGAGCGTCATTGCAAATCCCTCGGTGATGTTGTGGATGAAAAGGGCCATGAAGATTGAGAATCCTAGGGTTGGATTTGCGTGGTTAGTGGCGTACGTGATGAAGCCCTCAGGGAGTTTGTGAAGGGCTATTGCGAGGGATGTTTGGACGCCAATGGCTAGGAACGCATTTTGCGGGACGTGGTGATGGTGGGTGAATGAATCCAGAGAGTGGGATGATAGCAGAGCACGGTCGTCAACGTGGCCGCGGACCTGGCGGATGCCAAGAGATGTATCTCCGTCTCTTGAAACGGGTCTTGATTGGTGTATGCCTGATGCCGAGCGGGAGGGAAGTTGGTGATTCGAAGCACCACAGCCCGCTTCAAGTGTTTGCGGGCTGATAGTAATACACTCTCTGGATGCCACTTCTTTCGGATGCCGCTGAGTTATAATTTTGGCACATTCCTCTCCACATACGTGGGAGATACCATAGCAGGTGCCGTCCTGGTCGCAGAATGGCTTGTTCCCAGGGACAAGAGAGCTGAGTTTGCATTTTATACGGGAAACGACTGGTAATTTTGAGTTTTGAACTGATGTTCGGTGGGTGGACGGCACTTCGGATCGGGCGTTGGAAGGAAGCAATGACGAATGTTCAGTGGGAACGGTGGTCAAAGGTTTTAAAGTTGGATTTGGCTCAGAATGGTGATATTGAGTCTCTTCAGTGCTCCCATTTGCAGCTCCAGGCCCTTTTAGAAAGTGTTCATGCGTGTGCATACAATCAACCACACGAGACGGGATATGACGGTGGATGAATGACGAAACGAGCTGTATGATAACCATCCCTGCTAGAAAAAGTCCGATCAAAGCGGAGGCGGCTGCGCTAGAAGAGAGTCCAGCTTTAACAAAATAATCTTTGGACGTTGGCAACACGCTGTAGAGGGAGCTGAAAAGCTATCTTAACTGTCAGTGGTCGTCCGAGTAAGGCCAAAAAAAATAGGCATTGGAACTTCTGGCGTCTTCCTCACCAACACTCCTGCGCTTAGACTTAGCGAGGCAGACAGAAATACATTGCTATCTGAGATTTTGAAGTTCTTCAACCCAAAGCAGTTCCTCGCAATGACATCCACACAGATAATGCTTGACCCAAGCACGCAAGCTAGAAAACATTAGCAGCTCTAGATATTATCCCGTCGGAAAGATTAAAATTCGAGCGAACAACACCCACCAATGCCACTGACACAGCTCATCACCCACCCCCGGATATCATTGTCCAGCCCCATGTTGCCGGACGTGTGTAGGATCTGTTTTGAAGCTACAGACTCCGCGGTACGACCTTCGCTAGATTCGGGCGGAGAACCAAGTACGTCATGGGCTGAAACAGTAAAAATGGAGGAATGCAGGCCATAAAGGGACGTGGCAGAGAGCAAAAGAGAGTAATATAGACAGCGGGGGAGGAATTCCCCGTCAGTCGCTTAAGCGGCTCTTGTTCAGTAACTTTTTATTTGCAGAGTATGTTAGGACGTTCTGGGCCTTGGGTTGCATGTATTAGTAATCCACGGCTGTCATTGGCTGGGATTGTGTTAGGTTACTGGGACACAAGAGCTCCAGGGCTCTCTCACACCATCCCACAGCTGGTAGTAGAGGGGACGAGGCGACGAACCAATCCATACCCCAAAAGATTGCAGACCATCCTTAACTACGCTGCGTAAGCAATGCGTCATCGACAGTCTTTGCTGTTGGAGACCTCGGATGCCTATTGCGGACTAGCGCAGGCCACCTATACAGATGCCATAGCTGTTGCATGCTCATACAACCAACCACCTCGACGTCTAACAGGTCTTGCAAGGCAAACGAAGTGATTGAAGTGGTCGATTCGAAATAATGGCCTCTCAGGACTCAATAAGTTTTGAAGCTTTCCCAATCCCTTCCTCTGACTTGAGCTTTCGAAGCCGAATTTCTTTCTGCCATCCAGGCTACGAGGAACCAAAGAATACGTCGTTGTTCAGGAGCAGCAGTAGCAGCCTCCGGCACCCCCACCTTTGGTGTACATCATCGGACTGCCCTTGTTGCATGCCAGGTCATCGCTAACAATGCCTTCGACACTGGATGTTTCACCCTGGACGGAGATGGTCTACAGCGTTTGAATATCCCTCCTGATGGAATTCTCACAGGCGGAAAATACTATCTTATCCTTGGGGAGGGTCCCAGTATGCTCATGCTCCCTCCCATCTTCAACTCTTTTACTTACTTCATTTTTACTATCAGGCCTATATCCCATTATGCCTAGCTTTCTAGACTGGGAGTTCGCCTATGGTCGCATTCCAGAACCCTGGAACCAGGCTCCCGTTACAGCCTCTTCTACCACATCTGACTGTGCCGTTACAAATTATTCACTCTGCACTGAGCAAGCCCACATTGTTCCAAGGGAAGAGGAAACCTGGTATGTAAGGAACGGAATGGGCATATATGGGGCCAATCTCGGTGATATTAATGAGGCAACCAATGTCCTTCCCCTCAGATCTGATATCCACAAGTGCTTTGACAACCGATGGTTTGTCATAGTCCCAAAAACTGCCGGCACTGAAGTATCCACTCCAGCGGCACTCCATTCTCCTCAATTTGTCACGCATATCTTGTCAACTGAAATAGCTCAATACTGGCCTACGTACCATAACACCCTTGTCCAGCACCTCCAGGTTGACTGCAGTCCATATCTATTTGCTCGATTTGCTTGTCGCCGCTGTACGTCCTCCATGTCAAATTTTTTATCAACAGTGGTGATCTTAGCATGCATCATTCGACTGCAAATCGACATCCAATGAGA